ATGTGAAGAGTATGCTTACATAAAAAGCATAAAGAGAATGGTGCTTCTTAAGGCTATGGTAAGGGGAAATGGGTTGTTGCTATTCTGTGGTTTTAAAGTATCAGTTACACAAGATGAAAACAGGCCCAGACTTGGCCTCAAATTCACACTGATCCTCCTGCCTCAGCCTCCTCAGTGCTGGGATTACAGGCGTGTGCCACCATAGCCAGCTGATGAACATCTTGGTAGCATATTTTGTGGTTGTCTTACTTTTCTTGCTGCTAGGACAAAATACCACATATCCCACCCCAATTTAAAAAAGTAAAGGTTTATTGTAGCTCATAGTTTGTAGAGGTTCAGTTCATAGTTGGCTGGCTTCAAGGCAAGGTGGCAGGGTAGAGGGAAATTGTAGAGGAGAAACAAGAAGGCAGCAAAGTAGTAAGGAAGCAGTAGCAGCAGCAGCAGCAGCAGCAGCAGTGGCAGCGGCAACAGCCTGTCTCTCTTTTATCCCTTCCAGGCTACCTGCCCTTTGGGTAGTGCCACCCCCACCCAGGGTGCAGCTTCCCGTTATTCATACCCAGGACTATGCCAGATCAATCAGTGGACTAATTTAGTAGTCACATACCCTTAATCCCATCACCACACAATCCCAGCATCACATATCCTAGATCCAGCCACCTCTGAAAAGGCCCACCTACGACCACATGAAGTTTTGAGGGGACATGTCGACAGGAGCCATAACAGCAGTATTTAAGATAGTTTCTTTAGGAAGATTCCTAGAAGTGGATTTACTGGGGTTTAGGTAATAAATATTCTAATTTCTTGTTGAATATTGCCAATATATGAACAAAAATGTTTTATCACTTTTTTCATTAGCTGAAAAATAATTCCAAAAGTAAAAAACCAACATCCAAAAATGTGCTTGAAACCTTTATTATTTGCTAATTTATAGTAATTATTCTTAAGCAGAGATATGGATGAGTTCTGTGTTGTTAGTAACACTTCTGGGAGGAATGTAGCACGTGGGCCTGAGAGGAAGTCCAGCTGGGAAGCTGTGTAAGAGTCGGATGGGAAGAGTCCGGGTCAGAGACCAGGTGGCCTGCCTAGGAGAACTGTTTATTCTCTGAACACACCAGAAAGCTAACATAACTTTTAAGTTATATCATCATTTATACTCAGTTGTATTTTTTAAATGGCATCACTTTTGAAATGGTCAGTCTGATTTGGACTTCTTTGTAAGGAATGGTTTCTTTTTGGTGAGGACCCTACAACTGTCACTGTGAATTTGAGGCCAAGTCTGGGCCTGTTTCAAGTAAGACCCTGTTTCAAAAAGAAGGGGGGGTCATCATCACATTATTTATAGTGGTGAAAACCATACATACATGACTAAGTAAATGATAATTGCTAAAATGATGTGTTCCCACATCACTTTGTGTATGCATCTGCTGCGGTGTATATCAGATGCTATAGTTGTATGGATCTCTACCATTTGCCTACTACACATTGCAAATGTTCAAGATATGTTTGCTAAATAAATAAATATTGACACAAATGAAATTATTCCAGTTTCTCTTATCAAATGGTTAAAACTAAAGGAGTTGTTATGTTCATCTAAATGTGGTAGTTTGTAGTTCCATTTATAATAAAAATGTATTTTAGATTTAAATATCTCCTTTTCAAGAAAATATTTTTGGAGTCAAAACAATTTCAAACATTTAAAGATAAATTTAGTTAATAAAATAAATGTACCAACTCATTTTTGTAAAGCAGCAAATCTCCCCATACACATTTTTCTTCATAAAGCTGTGATTCTTCCTCAGCATCAGTTTTTCTAATGCTTTGTTCACTTCAAGTGATGAGTCATCCAGGAAATTGTTTTTCATTCAGTTACATGGAGAGTGTTTTAAATTTTATTTTTGTAAGTTACAGAGAGAAACAAAGGAGCAAAATCTATTAATCTCGTTTAAGTTCATTTTTCTGGATAAATCTAGAGTATTTTGAGAGGGGCAAGAAAGATCAATATGAGAAATACTGAGTTAATACATTAACATGAGTTCCTGCAGGACCCTTGACCTCTAGATTAGGACCTAATTGTCATCACCTTATAAAGATGATCTACGTAATTAGTTCTTTTGTGAAACTGAAGTTTAAAGTTATCATTATATATTTATTTCAGTAGAACTCTGAAATTGATAAAGAGCCTGGGATAGACTCATAAAAGTCAGGACCATGTCTGTTTGCCTTAGACTGTATCCAAAGTGTGCCACATACTGATAGACTGATCTGTACCTGATTATAGACTCAAAAAATCATTGCCTGATTGCCTGTTTTTATCAGTTTGTTTTGTAACTGCTTCCTAACGAAGAAAGAGGTTTAAATAACTATTTTGTAGGTTCTTTGAAGTGTAAGGAACAAAAAAACACTCAAGTTCCCTGCTTATGGGTAGGGGATCATGCTTACCCTTCACTTCCTCTGGAAGTCTGTAGAAACGCTGGTGGTTTCCCTGTTAGAAGCAAGTATTTCCTGATTCTTGCATGGTGCTCTTCATTGTTCCTTCTGCCTCTGCCTTTGAGGGGCGTAGTCTTCGCTCTGTCAGATTACATAACTGTCACATAACTCCTATACATAGTCCAGAGAAAATCTTACTGTCCAGCGTAATACCTTCAGTTCTGTTCAGGCAGAACTTTTACATCAAGGTGCCCATAGGCTGCATGTCAGCATCTGTTTTTGCTGGTTGGAATCTTGGTGTAGTCAGCTATGCCAAGGGGAGGAGTCGTGTAAAAGGTACTGCCGTTTTCAGATGAGGACCCGCTTGGCTGTTCTCTCGGCTCAGGAGTTTGCTCAGGAGGGTTTGGTGGCATCTAAAGTTTCATGCAAAAGCTACAAAGAATGGCTTTCACCCCAGATAGCTCACTTGAGATGTTAGTAAGAATAACCTCCTCAGTATTCTATAGCCATGATGAGGAGGAGGCCAAGGAGAGAAAACAAAGAGACTGAGAAAAAGCAGCTGCTTTTGCTGCACCACTAGGAGAAAAAG